GGCGACCGCAGTCAACACGCAGCACGGCCTCCCCACTGTCTCCTCTGCAGTCGCTCACCTGGTGGGTTGCTCGGTCGCTCACTAGGTCCAATCCTGCGTTTGGAACCCGTGCGTCTGGATTCGCGCATCTGGATTCCGCGCCTGGGTCCCTCCGACCAGTCCTCCTGTGCAACCCCTCACCAGATGCCGGTTTCGCCCCTTACCGGTCGGGCTGAAGAATTTGTTGTTTACGGACTTCCGAAAAGTTCAATTTTCCGTGTTCTGGTTGTGTTTTCTGATGCTAATATTTAGTTGTCCCTAAACTTGGTTGTGTGAGAAGGCATGGCACATCCACCTATACCTCCATCTTGGCGGAAGTCAGATGTGGTCCAAATTCTTTTTTTTTTTAAAAGAAAGAAACTGTATTCATCCCAAGGCCTGGAAGGGAGAAGAAGGAGGGGTCCGCAGTGCCCAAAGAAGTAGCCCATAAAACCACTTTGGTTAAGTACCTGCCTCTAGTCCCATTCTGTTTTACAAGGAGTCCCTAATGCTTACAGAGAGAGCTTATAAGTAACTTTGGGTAACTGCCCCAACTTGAGTTAACTGCCTTCTGTCACGTGTCTGTTTTACAACAAGGTGAACACACAGTCTGGAGGAAGATAAGGACTCGAGCTGACAGACTTCCACACATAGCTAAGTTAGGGTATTCACTCCCCTCCCTCAGGAAAGCTGGCACCACCTTTACCTGTTATCAATATGTAACTTCTTCACTCCATCCTGCCAACTGTAAGTCCTCAGAACGAAGGACCCGATGCTCTTGCCTCCCCTGCTCTGGTCACCCTTGCCCTTGCCTCTTGCCGCCCCTTATCTTGCCCTCCCCTGAGTCTATGCCTTTCTCCCTTCACTTCAACAAGGCCTGTTCTCATAAGAGAACATGTCACCAGCAAACCCTGCTTGCACACTAATAGGGTTGCTGATCTGTAATTCTTCAGTTCATCAGCAAGAAGAACCAAGATTTTCCCCATAATATTAACACCCCAGCAACCTGAACAGCGTCATGTCTTGCTACTCCACACAGGGTTCCAAGATCGGCCTTATTTGCAGTCTCTCCTTAGGAAGCTTTTCAAAAATACAGATTTCTGGGCCACAATCCAGGGATGCTAATACATTTGGGGTAACAAAGGGCTAAGGAAATCTGTTTTTATAGTTTCCTGGGAACCAAGGACCTAGCTCATGGTGTTTCTTAAGGTTCTGTGTCTTTTAACACAAGGCTCCCTTTCCCTGCAAAGGGTTTGTGCACCCTGTTTTATTTTTACCTGGAATATTTCTATAGTTCCTTCAAATGTCATTCACTCCAGGAAGCTGCCCTTAATACCCTGCTCCACTGTATACTGCTTTTACCTCGTATCCCCTCACTCATCTCTGAACAACTTGAAGACAGAGACTTCCCTTTTATTTTTGCTTCCATGGTGCCCAGTACAATACCTAGCACATAATGAGCACATAATGACTGCTAAATTAAGTTTTTTGGATGAAAGAGAAGTCTTCCTGGGCTAGCAGAATCTCACTCCCTCTGGGAACTCATTACTCTTGCTGTAGATTCTCTCTCCCTTTTCCATTGTCTTCAGTCATGGGTAGCCACCCTCCAACATTTTATAAAACAGTGTGGTCCTCTAAACTGTTCCTCACTCCCCCTGCCAATTTCCAACCTTGCTGTTTATTCTCATAGTCCCAGTTTAGGTACTACCTCATCTGAAACATTCCTTGACCGGCTCCACCAGAAATGATCTTTTAAATGCTATACATACAACTCATTTGGTGAGTGTCATACCTTCCCTATATTGTAATTGTTCCTTCACAGCTTAAGTCACACAGGATGGCACTTTACATTCCTATATACATGTGTTAGAGCCCTACAACTCACTCCCTACATATGGGTCACAGTCACCCTGTCCTAACCTCCTTGTTGCCTATCATTACACTCTGAGACTTCAACATTTGTAACATTTACTTGATTGCATCAACATCTATGGCTTTTATAGCCATATCTGCCACCAATTACAATTATCATAGGCTAGAGCTCATGATAACCTATAATTTCTCCACCTTCCTAGACACAAACTGAAATTTGTCTCTCACTGCAACCTCCTACTTTTCTGCCTCTCTCAGTCAATCCCACCAAATCTGAGCTTCATGTCTCATGACCAGTTGGTCAATTCCTTTCTATTCTCCCAATTCATCAGTCTTATTCTGCCTTTCCTAAAGAGCCCATCTGCTGTGGTCAGCTATCTCAACAAACCAGCAAAATAATCAGACTTCCTCATTGTCCTCTCTCCTCTGTTCCTTCTTGACCAGTCATTCTGACCCAGGTAACTCTGGCTGTCTGGTTTCTCCATTCCAATGCAACCAAGAGTTATTGACTAAAGTCACAAAGCCATGCTGATTGGGACTACCTACCACAAATACATACTCATCTAATCTCAGGTAGGTCTTTCTTGCTGTTTTGAATTATTAGTATTTTTTATAACCGGGGACCTGGTCCACATCCAGTCATGTGCGCTGATCAGGGAATCAAACCAGCAACCTTTCAGTTAGCAGGCCAGTGCTCAATCCACTGAGCTGCACTAGTTATATTCTAAAAGATAGAAAGGCAAGGCCATTCAACGTGACTTCCTTTTAAGGAACATTTATGTTCAGCCACTTCAAAATATCTGTACATTCCCCCCACACAGTGTTTATAGTTGCCAAAGCTAATCTGTATGCCTCTACCCTTCTTGAACTAATGATCTCCTCTGAGACTTTAATTCTTTCATTACCTCCCCATTAAAGAAGATGATTAGAGTTTTAGTCTCTCAATTAGCCCCTTCCCTTTTTCTGAAAACAAGCTTGAGTCTTGCCTACTGTCCAAAAAAGAAAATCCTCTGCTGCTTCTTTAATTCAACGTTCTAATTTCTTTATTTGCTTTACTGTTAAATATTGCTACCACCTATGCACTCTTAAACTACTTGCAATTAGTTTTTGTGCCCTCCATCTTTACCTTCTCTCCTGGTTCTTCTTCCTGCCACTCTGATCATTTGTCTCTGTTTCCCTTGCCAACTTTTCCCCAAATTTCTGTCTTGGAACCTCTTTTTTCTACTTTGTCCTTTGGTGATCCCATCTACTTCCACAACTTTACTAATATTTATGTGACAGGGTCCAAATTTTATTCATATTTAGCTTCTACTTTTCTCCCAAACTCCACATTTACATTTTCTAGAACCCTAAAATTTTAGATATGGAGGTGTTCAGAGGTCATTTATCCTAAGTCTTCATTGCCTGGGTATTTCTACCAAATGCTCACTGGCTTTTAAAAAGGCAGTTTCTAAAACTGAACACCTAATTTTCTTTCTACTTCCAACCCCATTCCCAAAACGACTCCTTTTGTTGATTACTTAGATAAGTCACCCTGAGGCACATGGCCTCCTTATGCTCTATACTCTGTCAGCTATTAATCTAGTAGATTCCAATGCCAGATTCTCTCAAATACATTGTTTTTGGTTCTAAACTACCACATTTTTAGTTTAAATCCTAATTGTCTCCCACCTAGAGTATTACAGTGGACTCCTGTATAGACGTCTAGTATCTCCCTACCTGGAACTCTGAATTATTTTGTGTTCATCACCACCAAATTAATCTTCCTAAAGAGTAGTTCTGATCTGCCATTCTCTGGCCTAAAAACCTTAAACATCTCTCATGGATTACTCAATTATTTACAAATTACTTATCATGGCATTTAAAGTTCCCCATGTTCTGAACTCAATTCTGTTTTTCTAGCCTTCATGCTATGCCCAACACCCAGAATATCCTTCCTTCTTCATCTTTACCTGGCAAAATCCTACGTTCTTTAAAACTATTTGAAATAAATACCATTTCCATCACAAAGTCTTTTTTTTACCCTAAACTATGAGCCTTCCTTTGAGCCTCTCTAGCACTTTATTAAGTTTTATTTAATGCTTACCAAATTTTGCCTTGTATGATAATCTGTGTATTTCAGAGAGTCTCAAACTTTTCCCTAAAGGAAAAGCACCTAATTGTACAGAAAAATAAACAGATAGCCAAGACTATCTGTCACAAAAAGCTGCCTGGAAAATTATATTTTAATATGAATTTTACAGTGTTATTAATATTTGACTGTTGGTTTTTAATATAAAAAAATGGCGTGCCTAACACTCCAGGTAGATGGGTCTATTTCATTTGGGGGATTTAGGGTTCAACTGACACACTGTGGACACCCTCTCCGCACACCCACTGAGTTAAACCAAGGGCAGTGAATGCCTTCCTATATATGAAACTATAAAACTAATACAGTGCCATCTACAAAAGCTTAAGAAATAATGTTGAACTGTGCCTTAGAATAGGTTAACTGGTGTTAACTATATTTACTAAATGTTTACCATGTACTTAGAATTGTGCTGTTCCAGGAACTTATCCATGAGATGTCCCTAAACAAGTACAACACTGTACATAAGACTTAAATCATGAACGTAAGCCTGTGTTCTGCAAAAGACTCAGGTTGGAGACTCAGTCTCTCCGTTCCTCGCATCGTGACTACCTCTTTAAAGCCCACTCTGACCTCCAAATTATTTCCTGGAACTAGATAATTTTCTGCTAACACTGCGCAAGGCTTAATCCTCACCACCTGAAAATAAAAGGTTTACATGCTTTCGCTCTTCAGTCTTAAGTTCAGCAAAAGCTCCTGGGCACGGAGCGCGGAACACCGGACGCTGTTTCTCTAAGAGTAGGATCCCAACAAAGGAGCAAATTTGCCAAAGCCAGCAGCACCGCCCCTAACATCCTCCACGGGCTTCCAATTGGTCCTTGTGGCTCACTCTCTTTCCAGGTTGGTGTTCCAGTTTGGCCTTCGCCTCCACAAAAATCTACCTTTAGCCAGCGACTATTGGTAGATTGTTACGTCATTGCCCCATGTACCTCACCCCTATTGGTTACTATAGAAAGGGGCGGCCACAACGTCACAGGCTAGGGCCGCCATTTTGACTGAGCAACCCTAGTGACAGGAGCCGAAGGAGCAGCGCAGGTTGTCCCTATTTCCCCTCCCCCTTCCCTTCTCCGGTTGACTTCCCGGGTCCCCTACACTCCACAGTCCCGGTCCCACCATGTCCCAGAAACAAGAAGAGGAGAACCCTGCGGAGGAGACCGGCGAGGAGAAGCAGGTGAAGTGGAGGGGGTGCGGGCGGACGGGACCGGGCGACCACGGTGGGGTGGGAGACGGTCTCCCACCAGTGCGGATTGGTCGCCATGGTCTCAGGCTCTGCAGGGGTTGGCCACTTCTTGCGTCACGCAGGGTGAGCTTCGACGCGGCTCGCTGTTTTGGCGCTAGTTGGTTGACTCTGTTGTCAGTCAGTGCCAAGCCCTTCCTGATTGGCCAGTAAGCCTACCGCACAACTCTGCAAGCTGTGCTATAATTGGTAGAGCATGGGCTCGGGGCGGGTGTTTGGAAAGACTGGGTGAATGAAAGGGGTCTGGTGGTCCCAGAGTGAGATGTGTATTATTAGTTATTAAGGGTAGGTAACCCAAAACCAGTCTGGGGCCTGCATCCTGAATCCTCCAAAAGATATAGGTCAAGATAAAGACGTTTAAAAACGACCAAAAGTAATTATGGCTAATTTAAGGCGGCAAATTTCTCAAGAGACCTATTTCGACGATTGGGTTTATCTGTTGCCCACCTTCAGTGAGGATCCAACAAGACTGAAGAGGACTGGAGTTCCACACATAATAATAGCGATTAAACTTAGACACCAGGAGAGTCGTGACAAGAAAGACGCCCCCCTATTGCCCCCAGACTTCCAAGGCAGTGGGACTTAGTCCACCTACATTTCTGTGATGAAACCACGCCACATCTCTTCTTAGGGGCTGTATTTGACTTACAACACTGAGCACCGGACTTAGGGGTTCATGTAATACACCTGGTGTCGTATCTCTGCTGGATTTACAAGGGAGAGGAATGTAATTCCACTAAAAAGAGCCACGGATTTGCTTTAGATCTTTAAAAAAAAAAATCAGTAAAGAAAAGGGTAGTGGGTCCCACAAAAAAACAAAACGAGTAACGACAGTAAAAGACCCCGCAAGCCAATTTGAGCTCTTGGCATGTTCCCCCATACTGCTGTCACTTGCACCAATAAGGATGGCATTGACTTTTTGCAAAAACTGTGGGTAAAAACTAGTGAACGTACTATATCTTAATTTTTCCTGAGGTTAAAAATACTGTCATTTTCATCCTTGTTTACCTACCACCTTCCTACCACATGTTTATGGAAATGCTGAAGCAATGTCGTCCCATTACTAAGATGGAGATCTTAGAAAGCCACATAGCTCTAGCCTCCTCCATGGACAGAGACTGCTCACATGACTATCTTAGACTCTGAAAAAGGAGGGGACATTTCAGCAGAATTATCTGTCCCTGTCACTTTCCCATTTGACCTATACTATGTGTCAGGAACAGCCAGGGTACTTTCCTCCTCGTGTATCACCCACAGCCTTGGCTGGCTCTTCTGTGTCTTTCCGAGCTTCTGTGCTGAGTGAGCAAGGGCTTGTTCTGTGACTAAGGTATTGTGTTTAGATAACTTTAACCCAATACTCACAGGTCAACAAGGTAGTTCCCTGGGCGTAGTGTGAGAAGCACCTTGTTTTTTCCTTCTCACAGTAATCTCACAGTAATCTTCTTGAGCTTTAGGAATTTGAGCAAAGATCTAGCTTTTTTAAGAGTAGAGTGGAAATAGCATGTTTACAAGTAGGTGGAGCTCCAGGAAAAAATAGTATAAAGGTTATCAGATATTAGCAGAAGTTATTTCTTAGTCTTTAATTTTCCTTCTTTTAAAAAAAATTTTATTGCATTTTAGAGAGAGAGAGGAGGGAGGGAGAGGAAAAACATTGATTTTGTTGTTCCATTTATTTGTGCATTCATTGGTTCATTCTTACATGTGCCCTGACTGGGGATTGAACCCACACCCTTGGCATATTGGGACCACACTCTAACCAACTGACCTACCCAGCCAGGGCTCAGTCTTTCATTTTATTGGCCCATTTGTCCCTTCTAGGACACGCAGGAGAAAGAAGGTATTCTCCCTGAGAGAGCCGAGGAGGCAAAGCTAAAGGCCAAATATCCAAGCCTAGGACAAAAACCTGGAGGGTCCGACTTTCTCATGAAGAGACTCCAGAAAGGGGTATGGGACTCATCTCTTACTCTCTTACTTGGAGCCAAAGGGGATGAGATTTGTAGAGGTTCTACTGAATGCTGACCTGCAAGTTTGTTGTTGGGCAACAATGGAAAGGAATTAGAAACTTGTAATGAGCAAGGCAAATTATTGTAAATCTCTGATATGATATCAGTTATCTTCTTATTTCCTATATAGGATATTAAGACTTAATAGGGACATTTGGATTTGGGGGGAGGGGTTGGGAAGAGGAGGGAAGGATGTTAGAGACTGGAATGCTGACTGCCCTGGGCATTTGCCTGTTGGGATGGTGGGAGTTTTAGGACTGTACTTCATAGAATTAGAGCTAAATGGGGGGGAGGGTGCATTATTTCAGAAAAAAATCAAACTATCTGTCCTAAAGATTTCTTCAATTTGAAATAAATAGATTTCTTCAGATCCTCAAAGTTAGCACTACCATTTACTCTTTCAAGAGACTTTTCTCCAGAGTGGTTCTCCTCACCAAATGAAAGTCTTACCTTCATCGCCCTCTAGCTCCTGATCAGATTTCTCAGTCCCCAGGGGTACCTACTGCTGACTGAGGGATTGTCAGTCAGTAAGCTGCTGTGTATTCCTCTGTGGGGGTGAAATGGAGAATTCAGCAGACCCTGTGGAGAATCCTAGTTGTTGAGTCTTAGTCACAGATAATGATGTGATGCTGATTTGCAGTTTACCTTGCTGTAGGCAAGGCAGGCATGGGCAGGCTGGCACAGCCACGGAACATGTGTGGGAGCAAGTGGGAGTCAGGGAAAGTACATTACCATCACGAACAAACCCAGTTTCTATTCATGGTCTGAGAAAACACTTTTCCATTTTGAGGTTGGTAGCTGGAGGTTGATTTCCTGCTGGTTGCTAGGCTGGTCCCAGGTTGACCCTTCTAGATAGCTTAGTCCTTTCCGTTTCCCCAGCACCAAGCCTGGTGGTGTCTAACAGGTCCTCAGCAAGCCTTTATGTAGAAAGTTGGTAATTTTGTTGAATCATCCGAAACTGATGAGGCTACAAAGGATTTCTCTTAAAACCAAAAATCAGTACTCTAGTTGGGAAACTGCTTACATATCTGCAACAGTCAGAATGCCTTTGGGGAAAAGACATAAGTACATGTAATTAATACTAAGCTATAGTGTATGAGGTTAATCATAGAAGACTTGAAAGATCTGAAAATGGATGTGGTGGATCTCTTTGCTTCTAAGGATGGCCAGTGCTCCTTACTCACCTAAACCTCCTTCTTGTCTCTTAGCAAAAGTACTTTGACTCAGGAGACTACAACATGGCCAAAGCCAAGATGAAGAATAAGCAGCTGCCAAGTGCAGGACCAGACAAGAACCTGGTGACTGGTGACCACATCCCCACCCCACAGGATCTGCCCCAGAGAAAGTCTTCACTCGTCACCAGCAAGCTTGCGGGGTAACCTGGGCCCCTCTTCTACTCCCCTTCCTCACCCACTGGACTTTTATATATCATAGGCAGGGATGGAATGGGCACCTAGTTAAGAGATCTTCTCAGCTGAGAAGGTAATGTGTGTTGAAGAGGGACTGAGTTCTTTTTGGTTAAATTGAGATTTCCATACCCCCAGTGTAGCCCAGTAGGGGCCCAGAAGTAGGAGACTAGGACTGGATAATACTGCAAACTCTCTTTTTCTTCTGTATGAGAAACTGGGGAGAAGTGATTTCCCCTTTTGGAAGAGAATGTCTCCAAATTGGTTAGGCTAAGCCTTGGGAATAGTGTAGCACGTTTAACATCCAAGGCTAACCTGACATTGTTGGGAAAGCTATATTGAATGAGATCTGTTTTCTGTGCTTCTAAGTGTTTTGTCCCTTAGGCTGCTATTGCTTCATGTTTCCATTATGGCAGGTTTAGAGACTCCTCAAAAAGAAAAACTGGTTGGCTTGCCTAAAACTGCAATGCCCACTTAGCCTCCCTTAGTCAGTGTCTCTTACAGTTTGCCCTAGCTCTTAAAGATTGGAGAACGTCCACGGAAAATGGGCGCCTTCTCTCTCTCCCAGCTTGTTGCTTTTGAAAGTACTGTGGGATAGTGGAAGGGGCACTGGGTCAGCAGTCAAGATGTCTGGGTTTGGGTCTAGTTTTACGCAGTCTTGGCTGAAGTTATATGTAACCTTGGTCAAGTCATTAAACCTCTCAAGATTTCTTATTTCCTCATCTGTAAAATAGAGTTGAATATGGATAAGATTGATTCTAATTTTAAAATCCTGCAACTCAGTTAAAAAATTCTGCTGTTCATTGTAAAACTAAAAATACAGAAGGCCCATGGATGAGCAGCCTACACCGGGAAACCATTTGAAGACTACATGGGGAGAGAGGAAGTGGAGATTTGGTGGGTTATGAATTCAAGCAAGAGGGCTGCATAAGTATTGTGGTCTGAGGGTTAAAGAAAAAGGTCTGAGAAGCTAGCCATGGAGCTCTTGCCTCTGCCCCAACCCACCTTTCTGGCCTACAGTCTGGGCCTTCGCTGCTAAAAAGGCTGCTCTGGCAGCTGAGCTGTGGGCCTGAGGAAACATGCTCCGTCATGCACATGTAGAGTTCCCCCCTTTCTGGTGTTCTGAGGTAATCAGATGCCAGGTGTATTGTTAGTGAGACAAGAAGAAAAGGTATGACCTGAGCTAGCCTCTAGGGCTTAGCTCTATAGCAGGGCTGGAGTAGCAGGTTCTTAGGAGATAATTCACGCTGGAGAAAGGTGGGGAAGGTGGTAAAGGAGAGAGAAGGATCACAGAAATCTGCTGTCCTAGAGCTCAGCAACCCAGCTCCTGTGTGATGAGAAGAGGCAATGCTGATTCACGAACAGGTGGAGGAAAGAGGTTGCAGGTGGCCAGCGTCTTCAATCTAGCTATGACTTGCTTGGCCTGAATCTTACTGAATGCACACTGCTAGTTATGACAGAGAGGGTCAGGGTCAGAACTAACTGATCAGGAGAGGAAGATTGTGTAATCCTCTCTTGCCCTGTCATAAGGCCAAACATTGATTGGGCTCAGTGAGAATGACCGATGAGCTTAATGTGCATGTGTCGGGGTGGGGTGTCTATGTGCTTCTCTCCTGACCGGCCATTCACTTTTCAGGCTGTCATTCAGATTGGATAGGAAAGAGTTGGTGAGGAAGGAATGGAGAGAGCAGGATCCCTGGATTCCTTGGCTCCCAGACTCCTTGACTGTCACTTGTAATTGTATATAATTTTTGTGTTTCTTGCTCCATTTCCTCATGCTGTCTTCCTTAGTCTAAAGTCCACGTGGGAAGGGGAAAATGCCGAACATCCTTGTATAGTTTCCTCAGCTGTCCCAGCCATGTTGTACATAGATATGTCATGTTATTATATATATAAATATATATATAATTTTGTACGTTTTCTTCATCTCCGATCTTCTCGAATTTTGTACTTTTTTTCGTTTCTGTGAGCCACTTTCTCTATTGGTCAGTTTGCATCCTCAAAACTGAGGTCACAATGAGTCTGCTTTAGGAAGGAATAGAAGAAATAGGGAAATCAGAAAACTCTTGGTCTCTCTGTCTCTTTATCGGGTCGTATTCAAGGCTAAGAAAATGAGACTTGAGCCACGTACTGTTTTTTTGCCACATGTTTCCACACTATGTAGTACATAACTCCCATGGCAAAGAAGGATCACGTCAGAATCCAAATCCCAGTTGCTTTCATTAAACCTAGATTATTGAATCCACTCAAAACAACATGTGTGTTGTCTGGCCCTGGCCTCTACCCAGTTACCACCTCATCACTGTGTGCCCACCATCAGTCTCTGCTGCTGTAAGTGGCTGTGGATGTGCGTCTGAAATCGAGCCTGCTCCAAGCTAGGAGGCAGCTTACACCCCTGCAAGCCTCCAGTTATTTTGATCTCATCTAACGAATTGTTTTTCTGTCTTTGTTTTTATGGGTCTCTCCAAAAAGGAAGAGAACATTTTGTATTGTGGATAAAACTGAAATTCTCTCTCTCTTTAAATTTTCTAAGGATAGGATTCGGGCATATGCCAGGTGGCCTAGTGATTGTTAAGTGTGGAAGAGTCCTGGGACGGAGACTGGGATGGCACTTAGACTTTCCCCTTATTACTTGACAGTGTTTTCTTTTTCTTCTTCTGTGTTCATCCACAGTGGCCAAGTTGAATGATGCTGCCCGGGGCTCCGCCAGATCCTGAGACGCTGCCCCCCTGGGTCCTGTGCTGGCTCCTGCCCCTCCCTGCTTTTGCAGCCAGGGGTCAGGAGGTGGCTCGGGCGCGGGCTGGAGAGGCAGAAGCCCCTGCCCGTCGGTGTCCCAGCGCATGGAGCCCCTTGGGCCGAGCACCAAGACCTTGAACCTTTTTTGTTTTACCTTTTTTCCAAATAACTGTTGGGAAAAATCTCAGTGAAATCCTTGGGGGTAGGGTGGGGCAGGGTACTGAGAGGGTTGTTTGAGAGGGTGGGTGGGAGATTTAGGGGAATATGAGTTAGGGCTTGGAGTTGATAACATTCCTGACTGTCCTTCTTAACCATGTGGCTGGTGAGGGGTGGGTGTGAGGGGAAGGAGGTGGAGTGAACTAAAGATGTGGGTTTCCAATTTAGTTCTGTAGAAAAACGCTATGTTTACTTGGGTGTGGCTGGGGACCTGGTGTCAGATCAAAGAAACTGTCCATCTAAATATGACAGGTGCAGATAGCTCCTCTGGTCCTTCAGAGCAAGCTGAGAAAGCAGTTAATGTTCATTGTTCATTTTTTTTAAATGTCCTCGAAACAGATTTACTGTGGGAGAAGGGCAGTGAGTAAAGGGAAAGGGGGCCGTGAGCATGGGGCGCCCCACAGAGCCCAGGGGAGTTTTCCAGTATTTGAAATAAAAAAAAAACCCACGATAAAACCCAACCCAGAAATACTCTGAAGCAGTTGGTGTGTTTTATTGGGGTTTGGGGAAAGGGAAGAAAATATCGAAGACACCATTCAGGTGAGAAGCTGGTGTGGGGCCCTAAGCTGTTAAAGAACAGCAGTCCTTAATATAGGATGTGTCTGGGCTGTCCACTCCCACCGTTCAGGGAGAGGGAGCAAGATGCTGGCATACTGACCAGGGCTTTTCCTGACTCGTGCCCCTCCCCTTGTTCCTGTAGCTAACGTGGATGCCTCCACCTCAGGTTTAGGCTCGCAAAATGAAGAGTTTGAGGGTATTTGATCTAAATGATTTATTTACACCTAAAGCTTAGTTTGGGCTAATCAAAAAAAGGAAGCCCGCTCTTCTTTTCCCTTTCAGTCTTGCATTCCTTCACAAGTTCTGTCTGTGAAGGAGGCGTGTGACCTCTAGTAATAAGCTAAAAGGAGCTCAGGCCCTTCTGCTTGTGGCCAGCAGGAGGCAGAGTAACTTCTTTTCTCGTGATGTCTGGACCATCTCTGCAATCCTGCCACTGAAAGAAGTTAGAAAGAACTCATGAATGTAATACACAAAAGAAACTGTCACCAAAGGAGAAACAGACTCACACGTGTTTCTCCCAGGCCCCACCAACATTCACAGGTGGTAAACTGAAACTCCTTGCCCGTTTTGGCCAAGTTTGATTAGGAGAGTTTATCATGGTATTTACCCAAATGTGATTGGCTTTTCAAGTCAGTGCATCAAGGAAAATAAACAAGGTTCAGGAGACATAGACATTTTAAAGAAATCTCCACCTTATTGAGAAGGGTACTTCTAAGCTGGAGAAGTGTTCTTGCTATCTAACTCATTCTTAATCAGAAGCTTTCCAAATAAGTTTTCAACTCAGGGTGTTCCTCACTTACTCTCTTCAGATTGTGATTCCTCTTCAGCATCCGCCTTTCTGAACAGCGTGCTAGACGCTGAGTGACCCAGGTGGTACAAAGATATATTCAGGAAAGGCATTCCCTACCTTCGTAGGGATTCTTATCTAGCTGGAAAAAAATTTATGAAAAAGTTCATATACTTCAAAAGGTAGAAACTCAAGTATTAAAGCTAGGATATACATACAGGGTGGATCAAAAGTCAGGTTACAGCGGTTCGTATGGAAAACCATACAGTAAACAATAATACAGGAATAAGGCCTGTGTTTTGCATCCTCACAGCTGAAAACCTACTTTTGTCCCACCCTGTGTATCCTAAACCGATCGCATGGCCTCTCTTTGAGCATGCTGAGCCTAGCTGATGTCTGCCCGGCCAGTGAAGCCGGGCGATGAGATCAGGAAGGCTAAGTGTGGGATCTTTCCGTTAGTGCAGTTTCATTTTAATACGGGTAAGAAAGTTGAGGTATAGAAGTAAGTTACTTACAAGGTGGCAAAGCTAGTTCACGGAAGAGCTTGAGTTAGTATCTAGGCTTCTATGTTCTTTTTCCATTATTCCTCGCTTCCCTGGTCCATAGTTTTAAGCTGTAGTCTTAGGAATCCTGGGGTGCCAAGATAGGTTTGTGGTTATCTCTTACCTCAGTTTAAAACTTGCCGTTCCTTCTTTTTTACTCCCTGACTGTGCATCCAGGGCAGACCAGTTCTTCAGTGCTTCAGACAGCTATTCCTGCCAGTATTGTTGCTGCGTGTTTTCTAAAATCTTTATTCCAAATTGTGGATTGAGGGTTGTTCCACGCCTCCAGCTTGCTTGAATGATGATTGTGCTGACAAGCCTCCCAGGTATCTGCTAAGCAGGGCATCAGAGATGAAGTTACTGTTATCGTCCAGTGGCATTTATTTTAGGCTGACGTGGCCTGGGCATCGAAAACACAGGCAAAATGAAAATAACTCGGAGTTGCCACGGAGGATGCCTCCAGCGAGCCAGGGGCACCCACACAAGCAGCCCTCGTGTGTACTGCCCTCTGCTGGGCTTGAGGGGGGTTAGCAAGGGAGGGAAGGTTTCTTTTTTTTTAAAGATTTTATTTCCTTTTAGAGAGGGGAAAGGAGGAAGAGAAACATCAGTATGTGGTTGCCTTTCACGCACCCCCCTACTGGGAACCTGGCCCCACAACCCAGGCATGTGCCCTGACTGGGAATTGAACTGATGGCCCTTTGGTTCATGGGTTGGCACTCAGTCCACTGAGCCACAGCAGCCAAGGGCGGAAGGGAAGATTTCTTCCCTTGGGAAGCTAAAACATGACAATGACACAAATAAAAGCGAATTAATGTAGTTCCGAGCAGAACTTCAAGAGCTAAGAGAAGGAGAGTCAGGAGAGGAGTTGGACACTGAATTTCCTTAAGAGGTAGATGACTTACTATCAACATAGGGGTGAGAAGTGCTTTCCCTCTCAGGAGTATACCTGTCTGTCCTCTCAGGTGTGTATCTTTCCTCTCCTAAACTCTAAGGGTCCCCACGAGACTTGCAACTAAAGGAACACTGGGCAGCGCAGCTTGTCTCTCACCCCCTGACCCTGAGCCCAGGGCCCCCTTTCCTCTGACTTTTCAGTAAGCCAACAGCAGCCCCGCCGTGGCTCACTCCTGACACTGACTTACTTCCCAGTGAGCCAGCAGCAGCCTCGCCTTGGCGCTCTCCTGTTGCTTCTATCCCAAGCCCTTCCCTGGTTCACTGTCCCCACTTTTAATAAATGTATTCTCAAAAAAAAGATAAGGTGAAGCCTGCCATGCTAGAGCAGGAATATTTTAATTCACAAGTAATTGTTGAACACTCACTCTGCAATTGGGAGTATTAGCTGTTACTAGGAGGTAAACAGTGTAAGGGTTGGTGTCTGCCCTGGAGGAAATGGAAGCCTCGCTGAGACAACACTTCCTCGTATAATACAAGGTGGCATGTGACTATTCAAGCAGTGGTAGAACATTTCTGAGGAGGAAAAATCCAGAGGGCTGGAATCATTAGGTAAATAATAGGTGAGAAAATGGAAATTAAACTGGGCCTTGAAAGATGGGTAGTATTTAATTAGTCCAATTCAATTATTAAGTCCCCACAATATGCCAGGCACTGAGCTGAAATATGAGATGTGTGATATGTGGCTGCTTCTTTGGAGGAGATTATACACTGGTGGAGAAAGTGCACACGAAGAAGTCATTGCAGTGTTAAACTTGCAGTCGTGGAGGCCTAGCTACATAGAGCAGAGGGATGTGTAGTTACTAATTCTAAATGTTCTGAGCGCTTGCAGTGTCTAGTGCCATGCTAAGCGTTTATCTCATTTAATCCTCTCAAAAATTGTTTGGCGTGGGTAGTCTTACCATTGTCATTATACAAATGAGGAAACTAAAACAGTAACTTGCCCGAGTCACACAGCTTCTGACAGCGAGGACAGGATGCGCTCGCTGCACTGCCTGCAAAGGGCTGGGAGGAAGAGCGATCGGGAGAGGTTTCGTGGAGGGAGTTCTGAAGGGTGAACAGGGTTGCTCCAGAAAGAAAGGTAAGTGAAAAGGTGCATTTTGGTAGAGGGACCAACACTCAGAGAAGGATGAAGCTGTGGAATCTGTGGTTTTTCTGCAGTTTCAATGTCCAGCGAGTCCTGGGCAGTGGTTGGAGACCAGGAAGGGAGACTGGAGCTAGCTTCAGAGGATATGGCATGGAGCCGGCCCAGGAACCACTACGGGGATTACAGTTACCAAGGGGAGATCTGTGTTTTAGATAGGGCACTGCCAACTCCTGTGGAGAAGGGATTTAAAGGTAATGGATTTACCGAAGAACTCGTTTTGTGTCAGGCTGCCTGGTTTGAAGTCCTGGTTTTGTTAGGACAAATTTGTTAAACTCTCTGCTTCAGTTTCCTTGTCTGTAAAATAGGAATGATATGGAACGTACCATAAAGGGTTGTGATGATTAAACAGCATGAGCATGTAAAGCCCTTACTTTGAGGACCCCAACAGCGCATAACATGGTTCCTCCCTGAAGGAGCTTACAGCCTAGTGGGGTATAATAACGATGAGTGGACAGACAATTAGGATGCAAAGATCAGGGCTGAGATGGGGATGAGCACAAAATGCCCTGGAAGCATTGAGTAGGGGCACTCTCCTAATTAGGCAGGTGGGGGAGGGTCAGAAAAACTTTCGCAGAAAATAGCTTCTAAACCAAAATCTAATGGAGTAGTGGGACTTAGGTAAAAAGGTTAGGCCAAGAAAAGAAGTCTTCTGGGGGAAGGAACAGTACGTAAGAGGATTCACAGGTATTACATTCTGGAAACTTAAAATAATTGCAAGGGGTGAGGCGAAGGATTGGTAGAGGGAAGCAAGAGCCAGGTCGTAAAGGACACTTAGCAGTTTATTCTGGAGGCAGTGACCAAGGGAATGACATGAGCACTTGGCTTTTTAGAAAAGTCTTTTTTATTGCAATGCGAGAAAGAAATTGGAGAGGGTAAAACTGATATATTACAGTTGCCATTAATGGGATGGGAAAGTTGAGAAAGGGTATGGCTATTGTGAAGAGAAAGGTGATGAATTCAGGCATAATAATAAATTTGAAGTAACAGTGAAACACCTAACTGAAGAATTAGGTACTACACTTTTGATTTTTTTCTGCAGTCCCACCTAATTTTTTTTATTCATTAATTTTAGAGAGAGAGAAACATCAATTTGTTTTCCACTTACTTATATATCCATTGATTGATTCTTACATGTGCCCTGACTGGAGACTTAACCCACGACCTTGGTGTATGGGGACAGTGCTCTAACCAATTGAGCCACCTAGCCAGGGCTCCACTTACAAATTCCTACTATGGGGCTAGTGTAGTTTGGAGTAAGACAGTTATGTTGCTACAGTACTGCATGTTAGATGTGATTAGGAACTGCAGGAGGTCATGACAATGGGGATGAAGAAGAGTGGGCAGGCTTAAGAGATACATGGAAAGTACAATCAACAGAACTAGATATGGGATACGGGATTCATTAAAAAGTTCCCTGGTTTCTGGACAAATGATTCCATAATCCAGATTGAGAATACAACGGTAAGAGCAAGTTCAGCAAGTAAAACAACGAGTTTGGTTTTGCAGAAGGGTTCATTTGAGGTGCCTATAGGACATCCAGGAGTAGATGACAATAAGTTACTTTATTTATAAGTCTAGAAATTGGAGGCCCTGGCTGGTGTAGCTCAGTGGATTGAGTGCGGGCCTGCGAACCAGACAATCGCAGTTCGAATCCCAGTCAGGGCACATACCAGGGTTGCAGGCCAGTTCCCTGCAGGCCAGTTCCCAGCAGGGGATGCACAAAAGGCAACCATACATTGATGTTTCCCTCTCTCCTTCCCTTCCCCTCTAAAGATAAATAAATAAAAATTTTTAAAAAATCTCTAAGATAGTTTAAAAAAAAAAAGTCTAGAAATTGGAAAAGAAGATAGTCGGTTCTGTGGGCTTCAAGATACATCAGTAAAGCCATGAAAATGTAAGCATTTAGAGCAGACAGATTAGAGAGCTGACCCTGATGAAGGCTAACAGCTGAAGAGAATAGAGACAAGGGCCCAACAAAATAAGACAATCAGAAAGATGTGGTCAATGGACACTATAATGGAGGAACTGGATCAGTCCACAGCGTAAAGTGCTGTTGAAGGTTATATGAAGTAAGAAATGTGACTATCTCATCTACATGCTAAGAAGTGCCCAATTTTTCAGGAAAGAAATATGGCGAGAAACAGTGGCTCACTGTCAGAATATGATTTAGCGTGTGTGTGTACGTTTTATACTTTTCAAGGTTTTGGCAGCGAACATATACTTGATCATTAGAGATCACTTTAATTCCAAAAACAATAATAAAATCACAATGTTTTTTAAAATGGACTGAAGGGTGTCCATATGATTTGGCGGTTAGTAATTTTTTGAGACAAGTTTCAATAGATTTGTAGAGGTAAAATCTTGCTTGTACAACTGAGAAATGTGGGAAGGTTTTGTTGTTTTAGGATAGGAATGATTTAGGCACATTTATGGACTAAGTTAAAGGAACAAATTTTAAAAGGTGAAGCTCAATAGAGAATGATGACAACCAAAAAGGATTCTTGTGAAGAGAGAGGGGATAGAAACTAGAGCTCAGGTGGATATGGTTAATTAAACAACAGTTTGACAAACATTTATTGAGCATTTACTATGTACCAACCACTGTATAGGGTGAAATAATGGGATTAATTTTATTGGGAAGCCAGCAAAGACAATTGGTCTCAAGCAAGAGGATGGATAATTCATCACTTAAGGTAAAGATATAACAGTAGATAAACTCACAGCTATTTGTGACTAGAGGTAACTAATTCAGAGTCTTCCAACAGCTTCACTGTTCTTTGTGGAATAGGATATGAAGTTGCTAGTTGTGATTTAGGGATGTGGGAACTCAGACCGGGGACTTAAGAAGAGTGGCTACAGTGTAAGAGAGGATGAAAGGCAAGGGAAAGAAAGAAGGCTGAAAAGAAAGTCCTGGCTGGTGTAGCTCAGTAGATTGAGCTCAATCCTGTGAACCAAAGGGTCAGGAGTTTAATTCCCAGTCAGGGCACATGCCTGGGTTGCAAGCCAGGTCCCCAGTAGGGGGCGCTCAGACAACCACACATTGATGTTTCTCTCCCTCTTTCTCCTTCTCATCCCCTCTCTAAAAATAAATAAAATCTTAAAAAAAAAAAAAAAAACTAAGTAAAAGAGTTAAGGAACAGTGTTGAGGGCCCAATAGATTGGAAACCATCAATCTGTAATTCTTGGAATGTGAGATGCATTGGAATGGGACCAATTCATATATTTTTGGCTTGATTTATATATATATTTATTTTTTTCCTTTATTTATTTATCACTAGTAACACACACCTGCCTGCGTACAGGAGCAGAAAAACTAATATCACTATGTGATCCCGAATTATAATATGTAGACATGAAGTGTCCTAACACGGGAGCAAAGGGATTGGAGGTGCTGGTAAAAACAGTGCAAG